AGAGAGAGAGAGAGAGAGAGAGAGAGAGAGAGAGAGAGAGAGAGAGAGAGTCGTCTGTATTTTGAACTGGAGAGATGTGTCGGACGACGTTTTCCGACTTAAAGAGAGTCGGGAGAGGTTGTACGCAGTTTTGCCGGGTTTAAAAGTTTAAGAAGGTGGAAGAGTACGACGGTAGTAGCCGAAGTGTACCGACGCCGACGAGGGTGTCCCATGGCGTAAATGGAAAGACACAAATGTATCCAGAAAGCGAGTAAACAGCGGCGACTGGGTTGCAGCCTAGCTCGCGGTTCAATATAAATGTAAATTGGAACAGATTCGAGCGGCGCCGTGAAACAGGTTTGGCTACGAGAAGAGAGCTCAGGCACTTCCGATGGTCCTTTCCTGGAGCTTTTCTGGATTCTACTGACCTTTTCGATTTTTTCGTCTATGTACATGTACACACCTAGTCTCAACCCGACGGAAAATTTTATTTTTATTCTGGCGTATACGGTCCTTGAAAACGGACACAGTTTCCTGGTGCAGTTTCCGAAAATCGCGGCGAATATTCTACCCGATTGATCGATCAAAAAAACTTACATATCCCGGCACATGTGTGAGAATCCTCCTCAATTAAATTTTGATGGTCATTTGACTTCGTGAAACGGGACGACGTACAAATGACGCCCCAGAACAGGTTTGGCACCGGCGCGTTACTTCCGATCGTCACGAGCATTAATCAAAGCTCGATTAAATAAAAAAAAAACATAAAAAAAATATAAAAAAAATATAAAAAAGAAAAACGTAATCTCTTTTCGAATTAATCAAACCGTATCGAGCAAATAGACCAGGAAATAACTATCCTTTAAAAAGGAGCGAAATTGGCAAAGAAATGTGTGCTTTTGATGCGCGCTAAATCAATCGAATGAAATACGTGTAAATTGAAAATTCATTAAATAACCGAAGGGACGTTTATATCCGTTTCTAAAGCGTCAGCTATTCTATACATTTTAACGGAAATTCTCATGTCCACATATTTCAAATTATGTGTTTTATACGTAGAATTACATATTTTATGCATACAGAGCGCGCTGTGATGCGTCAAAAAATTGTTCGAACGTACGCGTTTATTTATTTTTCCGCCGCATTTTCATAAACGCGCTACTTTCGACCGGGCGTCTTCCCCGGCACACGCTTAATAAGAGTGTAAAAGCGTCTTAAAACAAGAGCGATCGCGGGTAATCGCTCGAACGGGCACACACGGCTCACGTTACAAAATTACATCGGAGGATCGAGAGGAGCGGAGGGAGGTTTCGGGCTGCTATTTAGTTCGAAGAAAGAAGTTAACGAGCAAGATAGCGTGAGATACCGATAGAATAAGAAGACTAGACGGCTGAGCAGGATGGGAGGGGGGGGGGTGTAAGACTCGCGAGAGAGAGACGGCTCTATCACGCTAATCTAGACACGATCTAGCGCCGGCGCTAATCTCGTTCCAGCACGAAGCACTCGTTGCCTTACCCTTTCCGTTGCCGCTGACGTCCAATCTGAAGTTGTCGGGACCCTTTTGCCCGTCGACAAGTTGACCAAGTCCCCCGGAGAGGTAACCTCCTTCCTCGCGGCCGTCGTACGTCCTGTCGGAAAGGTCAACCTCGGAACCTCTCTTGATTCCTTGGGGCATGGAATACGAGACGAGACCCTCTGGAAAGAACAAGGTGGATATAAAGAATATATAAAGCTTTTGAACTATGCATCATCACGTTGCTACGTGGTCGGGGCTCTCTCTCCACGTGAACGTTTTCTTCTTCCGGCGGTACGTGATAAGATTGCGGACGGTTACGAGTAAAAGTGCACGTCGTCGGGAAAAAAAAGTAACGAGGGTCAACATTTTTAATCTCGGTGTCCTGAGGATTACAGGCGGATGTATCGATCAAAGAACGCGCGCGCGGGCGCGCGTGACATCCGCGATGAGATTGCGAGACGAGACTTGAGACAGAACGCGAAGACGAACCGCGCGACATCGATTTCTGCTTGTTGCACGACGCGCGTTGCATGGTTTTCGTTAAAAATACGTTTCGAGAAGCGAGCGACTTATGTCAGAAGCAAATGTACTCTCAGACTGTCAGGTGTCAATAAGCACGAATGAGTTACACGGTTCGGTACTTTCGGTATGCAGAGATATCCCCGCCGCCGCCACCCACTCATATCAATCGCGTATTTTTCTGTCCCGATGGCGGTAAATTGTTTTTGCAGATTTCGAAGTGAAATATGCGCGGAGAGATAGGTACGCCGTTCTTTCTCTCTCGGCATTTTGCAGTGTTTGCTTGAAACAGCTGCAGAAGTTCGTTTTTGATTAATGCATCGATGGGAATAAAAAAAAAACCGATTCAATTCGCTCAGTACTTTTCATCGACGGGATGTAGCTATTGTAGCTGTAATATAAACTTTATTACCTCAAGTGATGTAAAAAAGTCTTGCTTGAGAAAGAAAAGTGGTTATTGTTACGATAATTGTAAAAATCTCTATAATTTCACATCTCTCTTTCTCTTTTTATTTTCGTTGCCTTTGTAATTTTCCTTTTATAATTCGCGTGATTATGGTTCTTGCGCGGTATCACAGAGATGTTGGTTTCTAACCAACCACCGTTTGCTAATGCTCGTTCGTAAGTCACAATTTATTTTGCCAGTCAATATTATTGGCAGCCGCTGTAATTGTACGTTTAAACGATATAACGATGGCCGGAGCCATGCAGATGGCACAGTTAACGGATGCCGCTTGGTTCGTCGAGGTTGGATTAATGTAGACGCAGCTGTGGCTCACAGCCCCGTGGTCGATCGTAAATCTAAGTTAATCTCAGATTCGAGAGACTGACGCGTTACATCGGCCTCTTGTCAAGACGTCCAGCAAAGGTCGACGACTTACAAAAATCGAATCTAAACTCTCTCTGAGTTAGCGAAAAAAATGCAAACACAAATTACAATTGGACGTATCTTTTGTTTGCTTACAAAAATAATATAATATATCAAATATATAACGTAAGTAAAAACAAATCTTAGTACTTATTTGTGGGAAATAGAAAATCTGAAAATTCTGTGAGTTAAACAAAAAAAAAGTATGAAGATTGCAGTCAAGTTTAAAGTTTTATATCCACGAAGTGGTTGCGCTGAATAAAAAAATTTTTATTGTGCCTCTCTCTTTCGCGTATTTTTTCTTTTTTTCTTTTTTTGTTTCAACGAGAAATCCGCGACACAAATCTAAGTTAGCATCGAGTTTATCATTGGCGAATGTCATCAAGAAATTCTGAGAAAGAGTCGCGCGTGTAAAATATAAAAAAATTCACGACACAACACGCAAGCGATTCCCAGAGAGAAATGTCTAACCGCTTGTTTTCAGCATTGTTTTCGCGAGTGACAATAACAGCGGTTGCTAATGAATTTGTATAATTCGGTCGCATTTGCATACAACGTGAAATTTATTGCCGATGATAATTATTGACGCGACAGAGAGGCGTGTCTCCGCTAATTTGATGCGAGGTATCAAGTTAGTATTGGTTTTAGCTTTCGAAATATTTTTTATTTGTTTCATCACCATGTCGCAACACGTTGGTAATACAATTTTCCGCGGATTAAAATACAAGGTGCATATATCTATTTTCCTTTATTACAAGCAGATAAAGTCGCGAATAAAAACACGCGCAGCAAACATTATCGAGTAAAATATGCCGATTCCCGCTATATTGTCGCCCGCTTTGTGCGAGGCGAGACGGACTTTTCGAGCGCGGAGCTCGCAGAGATAAAATACATGATCGAGAAACATGATAAAAAGAAGTGCATTCGCGTATCTCACTCACCCGTCCACGAACAGCCGTAAAGCTCGATGCGCATACACACTATGCGCATGTGGGAGGTGTAAGGGATGAAACGAATCTTTGTTGCAATTATAGCCGGATCAAAGATCTGTTCCTTCTCCGTATACGGATTGTTATTGCCCACCAGAAGCTGCAACAGAAAATCAGAATATAGAGAATTATTAATGCAAAATATGTTAGAGATAAGAAATTGGGTTTGCGAGAAATGTGTGAGACACGGAGAAAAAAACCAAAGTAATGATGTTATCCGAGAAGAGTTGCGATTTGCATTCAACCAGACCGCCAGATCGCTGTTACACACGTTATTTTCTATACCGAAACGAAGGGTTTTTTACAACGTCATGTATGAACAATAGAAATACAACGCGATAAAATAGTTAACTTTAGTCATATCCAGATATTTCGTTCTAAAAAGCAGGGGGAAAAAACAAGCACGTGTTTTATAGCATCCGTGCAGAATCTGTTTTTTTTTCTTTTTTTTTTTTTGTATCGCATGCTTTTTTTAATATTCAGTATCACGAATTTTTCATATTGTGCAATTTTCGAAACGATATAGTATATTCTGTATTGAAAAGGAAAACAAGTTTTTAATCCTATTGCTGCTACACGCACCATTTACAACACAACATTTCCGAATGCATCGGTCGTTGATGTTTTCTTTATTAGAAACAATTTTTATTGACACACGCATGTGCGCCGTTTGAAGGGTGAAATTTTTTTCATTTTAATACTACACGGTAAATTAAAAAAAAAAAAAAAACACGTGTTCAATTTGCACACGCCCAACTGTGTGAAATTTGGAGAAGATGTAATCTGCGATTTTAGCCGCGTCGCGTCGCGGCGAGATGAAAGCATGCACGCACCGGTGATTTTGCGTTAAGGCCTCTAACGGAAGGACCGAACTGTACGATGATCATTGGAACATGTTTACAGCACTAAGAACGAATCTCACGGGCCGCGAGGACGCCATTTTCCGAATCCGATTAGTAAACAACGGTTCGCCATGAAACCTCCTCTAAATGTAAATGCAAGCGTTAAATCTGGGCTCTGAAGCACACAGTTCCTCCATTCCTGCCTTCTCTCGTATGCATTTACGTCCCTTACGTCGGATTGCGCGTCGCAGAGAGACGCACGCAGGTCGTTGTTATCGAACGGCGGAGGTTAACAGCAAAATACGGGACATTGACGCGCTCGTCCGAGAAAGATCAAGTCCGAAGCTAGAATCCGGCAGTTTGTTCTTGGAGAAACAAGGCTTTACTATTTTACGTAACATACGTGTATATAACCATCAGCACATGTACACCGATAGAGACATGCCAAGGATAATAATGCTGTTACTCTGTATCTATGCACACTGTTCTGCCCGGGGCGTTATGTAATTCAGTACCTACGTTTGTATCTCGTTCTGTTTTGCATTCTGAGCATTTGTATGGATTAGCGGTTCTCATCTGCTGTTATATCAACGCGACACGGGGTTTTATCTGTAATCATAGACTATCTCAACATCTTGGCGCTGATGATACGTGTAACGTATACACGAGCGAGACATTCTCGTTAATTAATGTACATTTCTTTCGACACCGCAGCAAGTGTTTTTTCTTACATTTTAGTACACTCGTGTCGTTGAACTGGTAACGATTGTTTTTTTCTTTTCTTTCTCTTTGCTTCAGAAGAAGAAATTGGTGTTTTAATTATGACAAAGTTTTTTTTTTTTTTTAAACTTGTGGCTCGAGAAGAAGTTGAGATTTGAGGGCAAGATGATCTAGTTTTATACATGTTGATTTCTTCGTATCTCGCAAATTATGAAAAACGTTTATTTTCGAACATGTTTAGAGACAAGTTAAATAATTTAGAAATTATTCTTACAGAATCTTTTTCAAAAATAATTGATACGTTGAACGTAGAGATAGCTTCAGGTTTCTTGCGTTTTACAATCAGTTTGTCGTTTAATTGCGATTCGCTTTAGAATCGTCTGTATTGCAAATAGAATCGTGTAGAAAGAGAGAGAGAGAGAGAGAGAGAGAGAGAGAGAGAGAGAGCGAGAGCGATACACGACACGTAGAATCGTCCAAACATGCTGACCGTCGTCATTCGTTCCGGGAAGAGCACTGAGTCCGCGTTGAAATATGAATATTCGCGCGATATCAGGCGCGTCTCGCTCTCTCTCTCTCTCTCTCTCTCTCCCTTCCTCTTCTTCTCTGCCCCGCACTGAAAACCGACCTGCGGTCTAAACACTGTGCGCAAGCGGAGTAGATATGACACAGACGCTAATATACAGAAACGAGGACTGTGTGCGCCCCCCAGAGCTGTACATCAACGACCATTGGCCTTTGCTTTGATTTGTGTTACCGAAGCTGTGCGGCGATTAGAATTTCTAACCAGGAATCTGTTATTTCGCGTTAATCATATAAAGCGCAGTATCTGATGTCCAGAAACCGCAGAGAGATGTACAGAACAAACATTCAGAACACATTCGTGCGCGGTTCCGTCAGCGGTGCGCCGTTTTCGTATATCAGCTCTACGCAACCGGTGGAAAATCTCTCATTCGTATTTTCCCTGTGATGTGATGATGGATTTGTTCTTTGTTTATTTGCGGTACGCGCGCAATCTGATCTTTTTCATTGATTTTAATGGCGGTGTAACGGAGAACAAAAAAGGTTTATCAAACGAGTAATGGCAACGCGAGAAAAACAAAAAATTCGCGTGTCACAATTGATAAGAGAAAATTTGTTTTGAACTAACTTCATGAACAATTTCAATTCACGATAGTGAATGTATGATTCTTAATACGCTGTAAAAGCTCGGAAGAGAGATCCTTCGACTGTGTAAACGGCCCACAAGGTTGTAAACGGCACGCAAATGGGACGTGCTCCTTGAACGGATGGGCCGCAGAACGGCGAAGTGGAATTTCCGTTATATCGGCCGTCTCGGGAAACGACCGACCGCGGATGCATTACAACTGCAACTGCAACGTGCTGGAATACAAGCCAGACCCGGGATCTACGCGATAGGAATAATTAGTACACCTCATATATATATATATATATTGTATATATATACCTATATATGTACAAAGCTCCCGTCGCGAGGTGAGAGACGCTCTTACGATATCGTCTCACCGACACATAAAATTGATGTCTGCGCTGTAGAGGTAAGTAGAATCCTCTTGAACGCGCTTTGCTCCAGTCTAATTATTTGTCGGCGCGGAGATGAGAACGGTCTTGATTATAAACATCACGCGCTACGTCATGTACCAAATTACGCATTATTTATCAAAGGAATCAAAATGTTTAAGCGCAATTTTTGTGTTTCTCACACATTTATTTCTAGATGCAAGCTATTGTATTTCGAACGAAGCGAATATATCGAACAATTTGCAAAATAGATGACAGACACCGTGTATACTAGTAGATGAAAAAAATCAGGTGAAAAATCTTGCATGACAAATGTCCTTGTAAACCAGTTGAAATAATATAATTATATTTGCTACAGAGTTTTATATATTGACGTTCTTGCTGAGTGCAATCCCGATTTCTCTTGAAATCATCATAAAAAAGCTCACACTGGCAATATCAAAATACAATTTTATAATGAATGTTTCTCGAGTTTTTGCACATACAACGACCATTAAAAACTAAAGCCGGAGATAAAAATGTTGCGGCGTCTCCTGACAATTATTGTTGTAACACCAAAAGTGTTTGCACAAATAATATATAATTCCCGTAATGCGGCCGTGAAGTGACACCTGCAAAAAATGTTGGCGGACGTTGTTGTAGAAATTTTACGAGATTTCACGCTGTTACGGTTATATGCGAGCTCGTATTACATTCCGCGCGCAGGTTTTTAATTTCGCTGCACCCACGCGGTTAAAAATTCGCATTCAGTTTGCGACGCGACATATTGACGCGCTTTTTCGGACATTTTGAAATTCATATACTTAAATGTTATCGATACCGACTTTCATGACTGAGCAGTTGACCTCGTTTTGCCTCGGTGATAAAAGGAAGAAAAAAAAGGTCGCACCTTATCCTGAAAAATCTCTTTTCGCTAAGCACAAAGAAACAGTTCTCAGGAGAGAACCTGAGAAGGTTAGTGGGTCGATCGAACGTATTTTCGGTATAAGACAACGAGAGGAGGAAAGTTTATGTTAGGTACATGCTTGCGCTTTTATAGCCACCTCACTTTAAGCTGCTTTGAAGATTGCGCCGTTTTAAACGTAATATATATGTATGTATGTGTATATATATATATATACACGCGCGCGCGCAACCGCGTACTTGAAAACAATTATAAGTGTAGCAACTTTGCGACCAACAGTCTCGTAAAGCCATAATTTTCCACGTAAACGGAAACCGTTTACCTAACTTATTCTCGCAGTTTTCTTTTCTCAACCACTCCACGTAAAAACTGTTGCAAATGTTATTTCAGTTTAGAAATGAGAAAAATTGTTTAAAAAAAAACGTCTTTACGTGCTATCAGAATTACTCTCGGATCGGATGGAAAATTGCCGTTGAAAATCGATAGACCCGACTTGTGATGGCTTTCATTAACTTGTCTGAGGTTAGGAGGTCGAAAGCAGATAACTCAAGCAAGAGTAGAGGTGGATCGTCTTACCGGGAAGGGGGCGAAAAAGCGAAACGAGCTTACGCGGCGCGTCCCATTTCCGCTCGCCCGGCGTGTAGGCAATTACTTCCCCGGGGCAACCTCGTAGAAAGGAGACCATCTCTAATCTGTTTGCGGTCGAAATCAAGCTTCCCCGCATTCCTCTAATGAAGACCGTTTTATTTTAACGTCTTTAATTTTGCAAAGAATAGTATTTTATTACGCTTATCCGTTTTAGCGAGCAAGTCGTCACTGTCGTTTTCGCATGTCTCTCGTTTATTTTCGCGGGTACAAATGAAAACCGAATTTCTGTATATAACATATACGCGAGACAAATAACTTATGAAACTACCACACACTTGTGTGTACACCACTTGCGCGACGACACACAACACAGTGTTGCAATTTGTCTGTGGTCGACATCAGACTCCGTAATGTTCTGCTAATGGAAGTGTTTACTTGTAACATCCTCGATTCGCATGAGAAGAGAGAAATCTTAATTTGTGTAACATCGCGCGCCTCGGTTAA